ATCATTAACCTGAAGTAAAAAAAAAAAAAAAGAAGTCTAAAATATGTTCAGTTACTAAGAACTTCTCCTTTCGTTGGTTATGACGACCAGATTGTACCAAATTAAACTGTTTACATGTGAGGCGAGCTGGTTTGCTTGGCGGTTATGGAAGAAAGAACGTTTTGTTCTAAGAAGCATAAGGAGGCAGGACTCGCTCCACAGCATCCTGTGACTCCTTCTGCAGCCTCCAGTTACTGTGTGTCTCCATAAAACACACATTCAAGAGCTGTTTTTGTGTCGAGCCGCACAACTGCTGTTATTCTCCTGAACTTTGACAGCTCGCAGTTAAAACACACCAAGTCAACGTCCCTGTACGACCACAGACACATAAATCCTCTTCCAGCCCAGAGGAGACTGATTTAGGCCGTAACTACCAATCCACTTACGTCTGAAGATGTCTATCTAAGATAAAAATAAATCAAGAAATCTTCTTTTGATTTCCTGCCATTGTTGTGACAGGGACGGCCTGAACAAGATTGTTTACACCCACCTTGGAGCTCGGCGTAGTACTTGGGGGAACGGCGACTGCGGCGTTTGAAGAAGTTGGAGGCGTCTGATTCGGCCATGAATACGTGCCGTGCGGCTTCTACAGACCACAGGTCACAGGATTTGGATCACATTAAACATAGAGTCACAGAGCAAAGGTTATGCAGACAGTACCTTGAGCATCTGGAGGTTTTGGGTCGTCCCGCACTGCCGCACTTTTCACCACACTAGAAGCTGGAGAGAAGAAAACAAACAGGCACTGACTGTTTTTGTGTTTTAATCACTGCTTACAGTCTATAAACATTATTTTCATTCTACTTTCAATCTTAAACAAGGATTTTATCATCTGAGTCTGTGCTTTAAAAGGGTCTCTGTTAAATATAGAGTAACCAAGCTCAGGTTTTGATCAGTCTGTGTAGATAAAATATATTCCAGATTTCTTAAAAATAGAGAGAATAGCTATTTAAGATCATTTTTAAAAGCAATTTGCTGCATTTTTGTTTTGATAACACAAGGAGAGATCGCTTTGAGTTGACTGGACATGTAAGCAAAACATTATTTCACCCCTTGATGGCATAATACCCTAAGTGGTAATCAATTTCAACCATATTTTATATAAATAAGGACACTGACACTGGTTTTAAAATATCAACCGCTTTTATCCCATAATTCTGATGAAATCAGAAGGATAATTAAAAGAACTGTCAGATTTTACCATAAATCAGATCAATGGCCATTACTGGCAATAACTGATTAGATGGTGGTAAGTTACCAGAGTTACTATGGCGATAGAGTTACCACTGGTAACTCTGATCCCTTGCTGCTTCATACTTTTGCCGTTTTGGTAACTTAATGCCCAGACCTAAATTACTATTTGCACCAATAGTGATCTCTGATGAACTAAAGTAATCAGTGATAACTTAGTCTTACATTAGACACGCTACTTTTTAAATTAATGACGCTTCATTGAATTTTATTTATATGAACTCTGAAAGTCTGTATATTAGATAAAAACCTTGTTCCAACTAATTAATTGATATTGTTCTAATAACAATGCTGTAAAGTTCAAAGTTTGTGACTGATATAACCAAGAAAGGACAGAAAAAAGAAAACCTTGTAAATTGCTAAATCCATTGGTAATAGAGCTTGATGTTGAGGTCATGGGTGGTACAATATAACCCAATTCATAATCACAATATATTTTACTGTCGTTTTTAATATAGACTTTAGAGATTTTTACTTTTATATAAGAATTGGACATTAAGGACTTGAGATTCATGGTGAAAGAAACAATAATAGCTGCAGATTGTGAAAATATGTTCCACACTAGGATTATAAGATGGTACCTTATTAATGCTGCTTCCCTTTCTTTAGTACTTATTTTGCACGATCTTTGACAGACAAATTTCAGCCGGTTGCAACTTAATCAGTCCCTGCTGTCCCACACTAAATCTGATCACAATGTCTGCACTGTTATCAATCATATTTAAAAGTCCCTACTCAAACCAAGATGGTCTAATAACACCCAGTTATAGATATTAATAATACAAGTAAATGAAATCTGAATAATTCCAATGCTGAATGTGAGGCAATGTGAGCCTGTTAAGGTACTTACAGGCGATGATGAGGAGGATGAAGAGCAAGGACAAGATGAGTACTCGAACCCAAGACATTCTGAGAGAGAAAAGCCTGATCTCTGCAAGACTGAACTGCACACCTATCAGACTTTGACTGAGAGTGGATAGAAAGATGGAAGAGAGAAAGGTGGTAGAGCCAGGGAAGGTGGGAGAGAGTAGGAGGAGAATAAAAGGTTCATCAAGGAGAGGATAGCTACTGGTATTTTTTTTACTAAAGGGAGGGAGGTAAAAACAAACAGTAAAGTCTGATTTCTTCAAGCACCGGATTTTGGGAGAATATCTAATGTCTAATATGACCTCTAAAATAGCAGAATATTAACATCTTAACCAAAAGGGTTAATTCAATTATGCTGAATTTAACCTGTAAATGCAAAATTTTCTTCAATGTGTCTAACTTACATCTGTACCAAGCATCAAGCCTGAAAAGCTATTATTTTGGGGTTTTTCTCTTGTTTACTAATGAGCACACAATCTTAAATAGAAGTAGTTATAGACATCAGTGGGAAAAGTCGACACCAATTCAGGGTTTTTTCTTTGTTGAATTGATATTTAGCCTGTATGCTACAATCAATCCGCCAGCAGGTTTAAATTTGTAAATTTAAATTAGCTAATTTGTCCATCTAAATGGGGTTTAGATCTTTGCAATTGTTGCAATTTTAGCTTTAGTCATTCTGTTATAGAATAACAGCACTTTTTTTTCCCCTCATGAAGAATAACACAGCAGCCTGTAAAGTGTAGTCTAATTGTACCTTACCTACACGCTGAATGAGATGTTCAATGTATGTTTTCCTTCCAGGCAGATTAGGTGCATGTGGCACTGAAACCCTTTATTATCATTCCAGATAGAGGTGATCATAATTTTACCTATTCATTAATTCCTTCTTACCCTTTTTTAATGCTTTTACGCAGACAGAAAGTCACTGAGCTCTAAGAAGAGATGATCAATATGGAGTAAATGGGTCTCTGTAGATTTCAGCCTTCTGATTGGACCTGGAAAGTGTCGCCCATTAAAGGAAACTGGGCAAAGCTGCGAGCCGTGTTTGCCAGGAAAAAACTGGAACAGAGCAAAGAATCTGGGAGTGATTAGGATGTGAACGAGCTCAAAATCTGACCTGTCTGCAGGACAAAAAGGTACATTCTGTTTTTCTAAACATGTCAGTATCACATTCAGGTTTTTTTTTATTGAATACTTTTGTATACACATGCTCTGTCCTTCTTTTTACCCCCCTCATTTATTTTATTTTTTTTACATGTACTGTTTGCCAGTATAGCATTAAGAATTGACGTCCGCCTACCGGATAAACTTGGCTGTTACCATAAGGTAGCTGTGTATAAAACTTTATAAGAAGTGACTGTGAGAAAAAAACAAAAAGTATAAACGGATGCAATGGAGACAGAGAAAGAAAAGGTAGAGTGAATGGGAAAGGGGATAAGAATAAAGTGGAGAGAGACAAAGAATGAAAGAGGAAAAAAGAAAACAGAAAAACAGCAGAAACTACTAGAAGTGTGCTTCCACACCTGCAAGAAACAAACACCCACAACAAAACAGGGAATAATTATTATAATGTATATTTTTTTATTTACATTTTTTAATCATTTATTTATTCCTCTTTGATTTTTAAACTTATTTAGCATACTATATCAGTATTTGTATTTATGTTTTTTATATCATTTATGATTTTAAAAATATGTATTGCTTTATTTATTATTTACTTGTTTTTTCATCCTTTATTTAATATTTGCATTTTATGCAAATTTCATCATTCTAATAATAATTATTTACATATTTTTTATATTCATTTTGCATACTTTGTCAAGTTGTTTGTATTTTTTATCCTTGGATATTTGTATTAGTATTTGACACATTTATTCCTCTTTTAATTTATGTTACGTAATCTATTGTTTTTGTCTCTTTTGTATCTTTCACTTTTCGTAATTTATTTATAAAGATTTTTTTTTTTTTTGTTTAGCCTACTTTATTTTGTCTTTGTGTTTGAAGAATCATTTTTATTTATTATTTATGTATTATTATTTCTAATACTTGTTTTTCATACTTCATTTAATATTTGTATTTTTATAATTTATTCCTTGTACTTTTTATTTTCTTTTTAACTTTTTTGCATGCTCTATTGTTTTTAATTGTATATTGTACTTTTCATAATTTTTATCAATAATTTATCTTTTATACTGATTTTCAAAGTGGGTCAAAAAAAGGAAGTGGCTTTGCAGACACTGAAGTTTCATCAACACTTTGTATACAATATGTATCTTAATTAGTTATTTTCTCTTAAAAGAAATAATCTAATCATGTTTTCTCTGTGTAAGAACAGGTTTATACCATAATTGGTTTAATTTAGGGTTTGTTTGTTGAAAAAAAGCCACAAAAACCACAGATTCAAGGATATTTTCTTTGGAGGAAACATTAGCCGTATCAGGACTACGACAGACAGACCAAGAAGTAAGAAGTAAATTAAGTAAAAAGCTAAATCCTGGGCCTAGTCAAAGCCCAGATTTCGTGGAATGAACTTAAATTGCGACACAAACATCCAATTGCATAATCCCAACCTACATCCCCAGGCTACAAGTGAGTATTGAGTTGATTCTTCCACAGACAGACTGGTGGACGGCTACAGGAAGCGCCTAAAGTTTCCATCACAGAGGAAAGCTAAAGCTAAACATTGCAGACTGTTCCAAATGATTCCAAAGAGTACAATTTTTTTTAAATCACATCTTTAATGATTAATAGTTATGTTTCACATTTAAGTATGATGAGATCCTTGTTTTGCAATTTCAGGAAAAAAAAGGTTTATAAGTCGACTCACATTCCAACAACAAACATCACACTCCATTAGCTTTATTGTTTCAACAAGAAACCAGCGAATCAGAAACACTTTCTTACTTTATTAAACAGGATGGTTAAATCAAACTGTTAAGTGTCAGATTTTATAATGCTGTGGATTTTATTTTGATGGTAAAGAAAAAGGAAAATGTGTTTTATTGGTAGACATAAAAAAAAAACAACCGATACGACTCAATAAGTTTATAATCAACCACTCTAAATTATTTCATTTTCCAAAGAAGCATCAAGATTAATCCACTTTATCATGAAAACATTGACTAAAACGGTTCTGGAAGATCAAGGCCTCTTGGCGTAAAGTGCTGCAGTCTCCTCCCTCTAACAAACACACACGCAATCTCTCCTCATTTACATGTAGTTATCTGTACTTAATTACAATCAGTTTTTAGAATTAAATCCCTTTACCTTGCATTTAGCAAAAAGAGGTTAGTTCATTAATATTTTATTGTGCTGTTTCTGCGTGTCAGCAGTCGATGTGTCCTCAGAGCGAAGTCCTCTCTCCCTGCACCAGGCGACCCCTGAAGGCCCAGGTATCCTGTGGATTTAGAACACATAACATATGGTATATTTTACTTCTATTTCATCTTTTTAGATGCTGTTAACAAGCGAGGCCTATGAGGCGTCTTCAGAAAGTTGCAGTAGGTGTGTTTTAGGAACTGGTGTGGTCAGAAAATTTTAATTTCTCTTATTTCCTCTATTAATTTATTCTATTTACTCACTATTAAAGTTTTCACTCGGTCTTTTTCACCTACAAAGCAACACAATTCTCCTGCGTGATGGTGTTTTTGTAATTTGTTTTGACTCTGACTACTTTCCATTATTGTAAGTAAGGGGGAACGAATGCTGCCCAGGCAGAACAGGGCTGAATGCATTAGCATTAGAGCTGTATAATGAACTGTTCTCTCTTTGCAAAGATATGAAAATAATGTGCCGACTGAGTGAAATCCATCAATCTCCGTTTATTTAACTAGGGTGAATAGTTGAATACTTTTTTTCTACTACACGGGACTGCAGTGTTTTAAATGTCATTTGCCAGAGCATGCATACTCTGATAAACTGTATCTTTTATGGAACATGGGATTCCACAGGGTTCAGTTTTGGCTCCATGCTGTTCTCTCTTTATCCTCTACGTTTACTGCTGCCTTCAAGAAACGTGAGGTTTCTATACATTACTATGCAGATGACTCTCAGATTTATCTCTCTGAAAGGCTTTTTAAACAGACCGACTGTTAAAATGTGTTCATGACATTAAGGCTTAATTATGGTGGCAGACGGGTGACAATGCAAAAAAATAAAAAATAAAAAATGCAACCAAAAAATGCTGCACTGAAATAGAAGCAAAAATCGACAATCAAAAGAGCAAATGCAAACAAAAAATACTGAAAGCGAAGAGAAAAAGCCACAATCAGAAAGAAAATTAGGCAATAGTAAAAACAACAGCAAACTCGCTCTAAAAAAATGGAAGCAATCCAGACCACCGGGGAGATTAACCAAAGAACAAACCACATAACCAGTTTTACTAATACATATGTTACTATGTATAATTATGTTGTCATTTTAAACTGCAAAAAAGATCTAGAAATAAGAAAAAATATTCTTAAATTAAGTGTATTTTTCTTTAATTTGAGTAGGTAATTAATATAATTTCTTAATATAATTGGTATTTTAAAAAATAAGATAATTAGATAATATGCACTTGAAATAAGAAAACGTCATTGTTTCTTCTTATTTTAAATTGTCTTGTCTTGCAAAGTGTCTCACTTATCTCCTCATTTCAAGGAAAAATATGCTTATTTTAGGAAACATAACTTATTTAGATTTGTATTTTTGCAGTGTATAATACTGTAAAACTATGTGTTTGAAAATTAAATGAAAGATAAAGAACCTCTCCTTTCTTCCTCCAACTTTCTTTCTTTTTTAAAATCCAGCATAAAAGATTGACTTCCTGTTTGCGTGGAGGGTCTGGTGAAATGTTTAAATACCCCCTGGTACTGCTACAGTCAGCAAAAAGACAAAACTCCTGCCTGACCAACACAAAGTAACTCCAAACTCGATCCCCACAGCATGACGCTGCCACCACCGTGTTTCACCATGTTTATTTTATACTTTTAGGATTTTTTTCTTCATTCATACAATAATTTGAAATTGTAAAAGAAATGTATGAGCAACAGAGTCAATAACAAAAAAAAAGCTTTATTGCAAAAAAGGGATATATCACTGGGTGTGAATACTATCTAACAACCCTGGTTATAAACCAGCAGGAGGGATCCAAACACAGTTGCTTGATGCTCAGCACAGCCTGATGTCAAGTGATACGCAGCGATGACCGACACATGTAATGTTTATGTTCTTTTGGTTGACCACAAAAACAAATTAGTTAATCATGCTGTAATTTCAGGGCAAACATAGCCATGCTACTGTGATATTAGCGATACAAAAACACACCGTGAACCGATGCAGATGGAAGGTGTTTGGAGTTTAGGCGTTAGCGATGTGCAATATGATTAAAGCACACGGAGGGGGCGGGGTTATCCGCTTGCCTGCAGGGATAAATATAGCAGCTGATATACAACGTAATGCTCATGGATGAGCTCAGGTATTTTTATCAGACTAGAATCACATCAGCCGGTTAGGTTAAATGTAAACAATGATAAAAATTAAAAACATAGGTATAAGAACGGCTCATAAAGGAGAGTGTTATAGGGATTTCTAACCTTGAAGGCCACCTCGTTCATTCCGTATTTCTTCTGCGCGATCGCCGACACCTCGTTCTCGATGTTTTCCTGTGTGGTTCCCTTCACGTCGATGTAGTAGCAATCAGCACTGGCGTAGTGGCAGGAGATGGCCTGGGGGGGCGCACACATCAGCGTCATTCTTTCAGTCCCTGATGTTCCTCTGAGATGCATCATCACTTTAAATCTAAATGGGGACTTTTTAGGAGGATAATCTACATTTTAAAAATAACTAAAGTCGTGAGAATAATGTTGGAAATATTCTGCAAAACTCAACTAAAATATGTATAAATAGTTTTTAAAAATTCCTGAATGTTGTTGAGCAACATTAATGAAACTTAACAATGAGGTGAATTTTGTTCCAGTGTTGTTGTAAAGAACATATTTTGTAAATAGAAAGAAATTTGCAAACCAGAAATGATGTTTTGAAAAACTTTGATGTTTTTGTCAGATTTAATGTTTTCAAAAAATGTATTTTTCTTTTCGTTTTTTTTTTTTTTATTATTATTATTTATTAGTTCTTCTCATTTTTTTTTATTTTTTATTTTTACATATTTTAGTTTTCAAACTCTCTTATTTTCTTCAACATTGACTTAACTTTTAGAGAGTCTTGTTAGTTTTGCTTTCTCCCATACTTAGAGTAACCCTCCCCAGGTTAAAACCATAAAATATCCTCAGTTTTTAAAAAGGTTTTATTTATTAGTGACACATTCAGAGATGTACCTTACGGAAGCCCTGAGTCTGGTTCATGCCGGAGCCGTGGATGAGCATCGGGTGGAAGAAGACTGTGTCGCCCTTTTCCATCTCCACGTACATCCTGGGGTGGTTGGGGTCATAGTCCCGCACTCCATGGTACATTTTGTTCACTCCTCCCTGAAAACACAAAGCGATGAACCTCTTAGCAGGATTCTGGCAGCAGAACTATGGAGTCAGATTTGTACCATTATTGTTTCAAAGAACACATTTTAGGAAAAAATGTTATTAAGAAATTAGACTTAGAAAGATTGTCTAAAGTAAAAACAGGTTTTCAGAGCAACTTTGCTTTTTTTTTTTTTTTTTTTTTTTTTTCCATAATGTTCTTACTTTTTTGCTAATTTTATATGTTAAAATGTTACCTTTTCAAATATTCTTTTTTTTTTTTTTGCAAAAAATGTCTTTTCCAGAATTTCTTCAAATCAAGGGGTGGACTTTCCCCTGGAGGGAGGGGCGAAGATGCATTTCTATTGGTCTGCTGGACGCTAGCAACAAGATTTTGATTGGTCAATGTGCTCGTAAACAACAAACTTTTGTATTGTGCTTGAAGTGTGGAGAGTGTAATCTATAAGACGCAATTTTAAAAACTAAAATTAAAAAAATGTAATTTGAAAATATATATGTAAAAAAGAAAATATATTTTAAAAACATTTGAAAAAGAAATTAAAGTTAAGAATATAAAATGCATAAAACACTGAAAACAATTAAATGTAAAAATATATAATATATTTAAAAAAAAAGATGTAATATATCTGCAAAATAAAAGTAAAAAGAAATTAACAATATAATATATAATACAAAAATAGAAAATATGAAATCTAAAGAAATGTAAAATAGCAAAACATAATACGAGCAGGCAGCAAAGTTACTCTCACAACCATTTTTGAATAAAACACGTTTCAAAGTTACTAGATTCCCGGATTGTATTTTCTATTTTTTCAAATTTAATTCACAAAATGAATTTTTTTTATATATATATTTCCCATCTAGAAAATATTTTCTTTGCTTGACACAATAATGAAACAAATTGAACTCCATACATTTCCTCCAAAGGTGACCCTACCTCCCAGTTCGGGTAGTCGTGCTCCATCAGGTAGCCCTTGTGCGTCCCCGGCAGGACGACCAGACAGCCATTCTGCCTGTTCACCTTCTCCATGGCGGTCCAGGCGCAGACAATGCGGTCGGTCGGACGGAAGGGAAAATAATGCAGATCCTGGTGCATTGGGTGGCGAGATGTCTTCTTACCTGGAGAAACAGATCAACCAAAAAATAAAGAGAGCTCATTTAAAGCATGATCAGGGTACCAGAACGGTGATTCAATTTCTGCAACATTTTAACACCTGCATCAGGAGGTTTGTTGATCAGCATGGTGTGCATGGCCATGATGTTGGGCCCAGTGAAACACTCCACGTACTTCAGGATCTGTTACACAGAAAGAGACACAAGGTTCCCCCAACAGAGCTTCCACCAAACATCAACCATGAATCTGGAATAGATTTTATTTGCACCAGTTTCTAGGTTGGTTTCCAGTCACTCAGTGAAACATAAATTTGATTCTCTGCCCTCATCAGACTGGTTTTATCTCCCAGAGATTTCCTCTCATGCTGGGACCAGCAGCAGCTTTTCTTTCCTATTTAGTTTTGTTTACTGATTTTTCTTTTTATATTTTAGTTTTAGTTTGTTTTAGTATTTGTTAGCTAGTTTAGGTTATATCAGTTTCATGTATAGTTTTAGTGTTTTTCATATAATATAACTTACATTCTGGGGGCAAACACACGGAGAGCGCAGACGGCAACCAATCAGCAAAGTTTGCCCCATATAGCACTATTGGTGTTTTTTCTTTGAGAAAATACACTGACAGAGGGGGGTATAAGGGAGGGGAAGAGACATGCAGCAAAGGACCCCAAGTGAGATTTGAACCCGGGTCGGCCGTGTCGAGGACTAAGGCCTCCATACATGGATTGTGCGCGCCAAACACTGCGCCACCAAAGAACGCCTGTATACCTAGTTTCTGTTGTTTAATTAACAATAATAACCTCAGTGTTTCATTTAACTGCTTCAGTTCATAAGTCTGACTTGTTTTATTGTCATTTGGGCTGACTTGGTTACTATGGCGACTGCCCCAGTGAACTTAGGCTGGTCTGAAACAGGTTTAGAAATCAAACTAAAGATTTGACCTGCAGTTTGCACGTCTGAAAACAGGTGCAAACATGCTGGATCTTCAAAGAAGGTGCAAAGGGATTTTTGTTTGACTTCAGCAGACTGTATGCAAAGCTTTTTAAAAAAATTTATTTTTTGCATGAGTTCTTGTTTATGTGACCTATTTAGGACCGTGTTTGGAATTTTTAAGTGAACCAAAGACTCGTCCTAATTTGGTGGAATCCCCATTTTTTATGTTAGGGAGTCAGTTTGAAGGTAAGATGTGAATTCTAATGACCGAGCTGCACAAATTCATGGGTGGTGGACATAAACATTTACTATGAGCAAAGGGATTTTTTATAAGTTGTAAACAAAACTGAGGCATTTTTTTATTTTTATTTTTTTGTATTTCTGACAGTCAGGTGTAACCTGACAGCCAAATATCTACAGTCCCTGTTGCCACAGAGGAGGCATTGGTCCAATGATGCATATAAACGGATATTATAATCAATTCTTCTACATACTTTTACCCTGCACTGATAATCCTGATTAGGAGGCCTGCTGTTTACAGAGCGTCGTAAATTCAGGGTCATCTCTGATGTTACAGAGTTTAAAAGTTCACCCGATGGTTACATCACCAACAAATCACCTAAAACATGCTTTTTTTTTATGTTGGCTGTAGATTTAATCTGTACAGAAAGAAGAGTTGAATCTGTGTGAGTTTGTGTTTGTAAACCTGTGGTAAGGCACAGTAACGGAACAACTCTGGGTTTTCCTGGAAGTCCTGGAGTTTGGACACCGCTCTCTGATCCGGAACAAACTCTGACTTTGATATCGCCACGTCCCTCATCACCACCAGGCCCGGGACCTTTACTTCCTGCCGACAGATCCGTTCAAACTCCTTCCTAAAGAGAAAACAAAAATATCAGGCTTCATCTCTCTGATTGAGACCAGAACAGTTTCCTGTCCGTCAACTGGAACATAGTAAATAAAACATATATTGCAGAATAATATGATTCAAAACTTGTGTGGTTTTAACAAGAAATAAATAGAAAATATTAAAAAAAATGCAGTTAAAACTTTTTTGTGAATACAAATCTGAAAGGTTTAAAAGATCAATGGAACATGGTGGTGGGAGCATCATGCTGATGGATGGAGCTAATGCAAATCAAAAGAGGCTGCAGAAAGTTTTCTATCAAGGTGAATTTATTTAAAGCTGCAGTGTTTTGGCTAAGATCATAGCATTTTCAGGGGTTATTTTTTTTTTAGCCGATTTTTGTATTTTTTATTATTATTATTATTAAGTCTTTTGTGAATCTGCAGCTAAGGTTCAAAGTTGCTACTTTTGCCATCCAGTCTATGGAGGGAACTTTGTTACATCACAGCTGCAAAGAATGTGTTTTGTAAATGGGAAAAAAATACAACAAAAAACAGAAATAAAAGTGTTTTTCGTTGATTCCAATTCGAAAAAAATATGTTGTGCAAATAAAATCTGAAAAAAAAAAATCATGTTTTGTAAATTGAAATAAAAAAAAAATAAAATTTAATTTTAATGTAAATTAATAGAGTAACTGTGTTGTTTTCTTAGGTTGCATTTTTTCGAATAATTAAACATTTTTTGTCGCAAGTTTCTGATTTTTTTTTTTAATACTTTTTAAATTCAAGTTTTTCCAATTTTTTTATTTTTCAAACATCTCTTTCTTTTTCCAAATCACCTTCTCTTCCCTTGGAGCGAAGACACATTTCTATTGTCTGCAAAGTATATAGTCTATAGTATAGTCTGCAAAGTGCCCTGAGATGACAGGTGTGAATTAACGCTATATAAATAAACCGAACTAAATTGATTTAATGTAGTGAAGGTGAGATTAAGTCTCATGAGGCATTGAGCCGTTTGGCCAAATTGTTTCAACGATCTCAACAGTTCATGAAACTTCATGTGAACATGTCACCACCTATTGGTGGAAAGCAGAACTACAGATAGTAATATAATCTGATTTTTTTATATTGTTTCTCTTGTTTTTTTCCCCATTTAAGTTGCTTTGAAATATTTAATGATTGGTCTGTATAATAAAATCTTTTTTGACATATGGAATCTGAAAAAAAAAAGCAAAGTTCTTCTCAAAATCCTTTTTTTTGATGAAGTTTTTGAAAGTTTCATTTCGTTCCAAATTTCTATTTACAAAACATGTTCTTTGTTTCCAACAATAAGGGAACCAGCCTGACGGACTGATAGATGAACGTAAGACCAGTTAAATCACATTAAAGCAGCATTGAAACAAAGAAACAATCCCAACAAACAAAAAATTATTTATCCATAAACATGAACTAAACAAGGTTTCTAACATTTCTTCATAAGTTAGCCCCATAATATCAGGGTAAATCAGACTTTTATAGTAATAAAACAGATTTTTATGTAATAAATAAATAATAAATCTTCTTGAGTCCAAGCGTACCTGAACCTGTCGATGTCCGCCTCAGACACCAGGTTCCTGATGAGGAGGAAGCCATTTTCCTCATAGAAGCGTCGCTGCTCTGGGGTCAGCACGCCTGTGTCAAATGAGTACCTGTGCAACATGGCGACCAATCAAATCAGATGGAGGTGAAATCAGAGCAGCTCCTTTAAATCACTGATAACTGTTACAAAGTTTTTCATATTCAGGAGACACAAATGTTTCCAGCTGCAGCTTTGATGCCAAGTTAGATAAGTAAAGCTTTTTGTTTTCCTCCTACCTGAACTTCTGAGGGGGGTTGCTGGGGAGGGTTAGACCAGACGTTGGAGACGCTTTCTTTATTAAGAAATCAAGGAAAAATAGATAAACATCCAATGTTTCCTAAACTGATCATTATTTCTTTAGAAATATGTATAGAGGAAAGCCTGCTCTGTGATTGGATGCCCTCTGGATTTGCAGGATATGGGAAATAAAAAAAAGATCCTAACTAAGTTAACATCTCTGTTGGATAATGTTTCATGAAGTTGTTGCAGAACTCCAGAGCTCCTTTAGTGACTGCACGCTTAATGCACCAGGAAGCGTTATCACAGATCCTTTCTCCCTGCAGCTGTAATACTTTATAACATAACTGTTCCCAACAAACTCAATAAGTTGTTACATTAATGCTGATTTTGCACAGTTTGTACCTTAATCAGTTAAATAACATGCTGCTGCCCTTTTGCATATCTCTGATATAGTTAAAAACACTCTATAGTACAGTATTTTTATTTGTTTATTTTTAATTCTTTGCTATTATTTTATTCTTATACACTTTTCTAAGATATGCATTTTTGTGACCATTTTTTTCTATAATCTTTTTGCTGCTGTAAATACCAGAACCCCCCCCCCCCCATTTTATCTTTATCTAAGATAATATTTTAAAAATCTTTTTCAACAAATCTTACATATTCATTTTATTTGTCATTGCGTTTTACAAATTGCAGTCTTTTCAAACTGTGTTTTCCTAGATCACATTCCCTTAATTTAAAGCCAAACACAAATGTTCGTCATGTTGCTAACAAGCATGCATACCAATAGAAATGTGTATTTGCTTCTATCTCCAGAGGACAGCCCGCTCCCAGAAGTAAAAATAATGTAATATGGAAGACACAAGAATTAATCCTTTAAATTAAAATAAATAAAAAATTGGAAATTTGAAATTGCTACCAAAACCTATTTTTTAATAAGCCTTTTTTTTTTATGTTTCATTACTAGATCAAATTTTTCTTTCCTTTTAAACTTCCATTTACAAAATATATTTTTTGATAGCAACTATGATAAGCACAGAATTCCCAGCATAGACGGCATACAGTGAGACTATGCACCTTTAAGATTTATATTTAGCATTTTCTGCCTCACTAAAGAAAAAAAATCTAATGTCAAATTACACAAATGTTACTTTTTTTTTTTTTTTTTTTTTTTACACATCCGGCGTCCCATACAGGAGCTCTACCGAGTTCTCAAGGACTCGTGCGCCTTTAAGCCTGTAAGACAGACCAGACAAATGTAGACCAGCAGAATCAGCAGCAGATATAAACAAACTCAGCCGCAGGCTCCTGCCCACCACTCTAAAACCTGAGAGAAACGTCTAAAACACCCAGGATCAGTTAACCATGCTCCATGACTGCTGCTGTGTTCAGCCTCTCGCTGCCGAACTTCCTGCAGGTCAAACAATCGGAGCCTCACAGTGAAAGGATACGATGGAAGCAGCTGATCGGTCCAGGTGATTGATCACCATTCGGAGTCTGTCCGCAGATCGAGACATCTTTCTTTGAGTCCTCAGAAAAACACAAACAGCCGCTGTCTCCGGACTGGAGTAAAGGTAGCGGGAGTGACGTCACGGGCACGCACAACGTCAGGCCATCTATGGGCAGCTTCTGGAAAACTGGGTTTAGATAGTTTATTACAAATACATAAACTCACTGCCAGACAGATATAAACAGGGATATGAACGTGATGATGTATCTGTTAAAATAAAAAAAAGACTCGAAGAATTTAAATTTTACTTAAGTTTATTTTAGTATAATAAGGGGAAAAAGATCAGAATTATTAGAAAAAAAGTCATAATTCTGAGATTAAAGTCAGAATGCTCACTTTTCCGGTATTATACAAAAACAAAATTTAAAAATCAGTTAACTTTAAAAAATTCTTTCAGTGGCCATAAACCTCATCCGTAATGAACAAACTGGGCTAGAAAAAAAAATAAAAAAATGAACAAATTCTCTCCGCCTCTTGATTTACCTTCTCTTTTGCTTAGCAAAGAATGTTTATTTTAAATAGAAATTTGTGATTTGAAATACAAATATTACATTCCAGAAATCAAACTTTGAAAAACGTTATATTCAAAAAGGTTTGAGAATAATTTGTCGTTTTCTAAGATTTGTTGTTTTTTAGATGTTTTATTTTACACTTTATTTTTATAAATTTTATCTATTTATTTATTTATTTTTCAGATAACTGTCACTCACTGAGTTTTACGAATTAAGTTTATTTCAAATTATTAATGAATTGTCACTAATGTCAGCTAATCAAAAGAAATGCGTGTTTTCTAGTCCGTCCCAAGACTAATAATGATAATAATAATAATAATTGAACTTTTTATTGATCTCACAGAAATTTACCTCTGCATTTAACCCATTTACTTGGGGAGCAGTGGGCTGCCATTGTGAGGCACCCGGGGAGCAGTGTGGGGGTTAAGGGTCTTTGCTCAGGGACTGTGGGAGTGGGGCTTGAACTCAGAACCTCATTATTCCAAGATCCATCCTGGATTGAAATATCATCTGTGCAGCTGCAATCAACGCCTTCAAATATAGATGATAGAATTGGACCTGTTCTTCAGTGCTTAATTAGAAACTTTTAAACCATCTGACTGTGTGATCGGTTAAAGATAAAGTGGAGGATGTTCTTTTTCCGGGTGGATCATCAAAATAAATAGTCCTCCTAACTGTCAATCATTCTGGTGATATTTTTACATAAGGCTATGCGCTCGTCCCCATTTTCACTTACTGGTGGTGAGTCTGTAATAGTGGAAAAATTGCAAATCTTCTTTTGGAAAGTAAGCTTGTATGAGCGATGCAAACAGCTACTTTTAAACAGAGCATGAATGATGGAAAATGGGGTCATGCATGCTCTCGCACGCGTTTATTAGGTGTTCCCTTAATGGTGCAGGTGCATGTCCATATTTTTCTAAAGAATCAGGGCGGGTCTTTTCAAGAATTCACCAAAATCCCCCATTAAACCCTAAAATGTCTCCAAAGAGTCATGACAGTTGTATGGATTTAGCTTTTCCCTTCACCAGTTTTATTACGGCTTTATATTCATCAATATCCCTGTTGTGCTCAGTAACGGACAAACTAATATAACAAACAGGAATGTCAAGGATAATTAGTGCTCCATGTTTGGTGTTTTACACGACTATAAAAGAATACACTCTCGAATGTGAATGTCAAACTTATTTATAACAGGCCCTGATATAAACCTACCGAGCTGTTAAGGAATAAGAAAATACTACAGCTGTTCTCCACTAGAGGGAGCCACAATACAACGAAATAGAAACCTGAGAGACGTAAAAGGCATGAAAACAATAAATAAATTCAGCAATGAGAACAAAAAACGACTTATATAATTAAAAATACTAGCAACATCAACATAAAATGATGATTTTTTAAACAGTAAAATATTTTTGTGTTTCTATGGCTTCATCTTGTAATGTGGGAAATAAAGTGATTCAAATACATTAAGAAAGGAAGATTAACCCTGATTTAACATAAAATATCTGGACATGAGTAGAACCTAAAAGCTGTTTTACCCCTTCAAGAAGATGCTTCTTACTTCACCAACATCTGACATTATTCTGAGGATAGTTTCCTCCACTAGTTTCTGCTCTGACAGGTTAGAGGGGTTTGTTTCAGGTCACCACACAACATTTCAGTGGGATTGATTGGTAGATTATCAATGTGGGGCCAGTTTAATGTTGTCAGGCAGAGCTCTGCTTCAGCTTTAATTATATCCCCTCTGTGGCAAACCTGCTGCCCATAACACACTGTTAGTTTTATGCCAAACGTCTCCAGGGAAACAATATTTTTTTGGCAACATGGGCGGTTCTAGATGGGGGCCAACAGGGGCCAGTACCCCTATAAAACTGATCCTGGCGCCTGTTATAAAGACACAATAATTAATACATTTCTAAACGTGATATGCACAGGAGGGCACCTTTGGATTCTGTTTTAATTATGATTTAAAAATTAAGGTGACCGATTCACTCATGTTGAAATGGGATCACAGTTTAAATCTGCTAAATGTTATTTTGAACAAAAACCCCCCCCAGAATACTCTCATTTATTACTTATTAGAAGAATTATTATCATTTATTTTATTATGTATTATACATTATTGTTTATTTTACTTATGATCTAAAATAAGCAAAATATATGTAATATTCCTGAATTATGAATACACCGAACAAACATTCTAAAGAATTGCTTTATTTGGTCATTTAATACATATTTATTTAGCAGCTAATTATTTCAGTTACTTTTTTCACATATTTCAGGTAAACTAAATACATTTCAAGGGAAAAATAAACATTTTCTGTTGGAAAAACATTACATTTCACAAGCAGCTATTTGGTTCTTTGGCTCTTTTATCATATTTTATATGATAAACTATTGCCTTATTTTTTGTTTCATGCATTTCTGTGCTCCCATTAAAATGCATGTTTATGTCCATGTCTAAATTATTTCTGCAAAACTTTAGCCTTCATCTATATATACGTATTTATTTTAATAAAGATGAATGTTTTATCCTTTTTCAACACAGTTAATTGGAATGAAAGTTATACAGTCTCCATGGACGGTTCCAGAGAGGGGCCAGTCCCCATGTTTGATTGGTATGTATCAAAAATGAAGTTAACAGTCCTTTTTTTTTTTTTTTTTTTTTAAATAAGAGCAGTTTCCTTTGATTTAAGCAAATATGTAAGAAAATTTGCTCATGAAAAAAGAGGATTTACCTAAAGAAATGAAACAACTCTATTACATTATTTCAAGTACATAATATTTAATCTTATTTCAATTGGAAAAATACTCATCACTTTGGCAGATCATCTTATTTAACTATTCAAATGAAGTAAAATACTTAATTTGTTTACCTATTTACCTATTGTTTACCTTAACCAATTTTCACGTGCATTTTGCAGTCTAATACTAAATCATTTTCCTTATGATTCATTCGAGCAATTGAAAACTTGACCTTTAAAATGTACTTAATCATTAGAAATTATTATTTAATGTGCTCGTCCTGCTTTTTTTCTTTTTTTTTGTCTTTAGTTTTGTCGAACCATGAAAAAAATATTGTCTCTATGATTGTAGCAGTGTTTTATTATAAATAGTCTGGCCGGAAACACAATCAACCATCCTGGTGCTTTATTTTGAAACGTCTTAAACAACAGCCGCACTCTTCTTGAATGGGGCGCGCTTTTATTTTGAAAAGCTAACGGAAGTCGATCTGTCAAGTTCTGCATTATTAAGTATTAAAAACAAGCAATCGGATAGTAGAATGGACATATTATTAGAAATTTTTCACACATTATATAGAATTAAAAATATGGGTGTGATAGTTATTTTTGTATGGGTTCCAGCGCATATTGGAATAGAAGGAAATGAGAGAGCAGATAAAATAGCAAAAGGGGCAATTCAAAAACCAATTAGCATTAAAGTTAAAACAAGTAAAGCTGAAGGAAAGAGTATGGTTAAGGAAAAACTGATGGAAAAGTGGCAGAAAAGGTGGGATGAAGAAATAACAGGAAGATGGTTTTATAAAATTCAGAAGAAGGTTAAAGAAAGAAGAAAGGGAAAAAGAAATAGAAAAGAGGAAAGAGTGATAACCAGGATAAGATTTGGGCATACTGGACTTAACTACTCACTTTTTAAAATTCAAAAACATGCAACTGGTAAATGTGAATATTGTGGAGAATGGGAAACAGTAGAACATGTTATTCTAGAATGTGATAAATATGAAAGAGAGAGAAGATGTATGATAAAAGAGTTTGAAAGTATTAAGGTAAAATTTATGTTAATAGATATTTTGAGGGAAAGTTTGGAGAGCAAACATATACAAATAGTTATTAGATTCTTAAAGAAAACTAAGATATTCAGTAGAATTTGATAGAGTAGACATAAGAGTGAATGTGTGGATGATAGTGATGAGTAGAATATAAATATGGATGTAAGTTTGTTTGTGTGGGTTGGTAGGTGTATGTATGAGTATATATAGATATATATATACAAAAAGAGCGTTAGACCAACGAGAGCCACACTCCATACCAGTAAGTGGCGGTAATGCTACTATTAAGTTTGTTGCCAACCGCCAATAAACACAACAAGAAGAAGAAGAAGTCGATCTGTCCTCGCGCTAGCAGACGGTAGCTAGCGGTTAGAACCCTCCAGTGTGTGTCGACGCACGGTCCTCCTCCCTCAAGCCTCTTTAAATTGTCTTCACCGCCGAGCTATCGACATTTTTCGGGCACCTCGTCAACAGACGCGTGTAGCTGTATGTGTGTCCCCGAGGATATTCGTTTCTCCGCCGGAGCCTCTGGAACAGCCCGTTAACACAAGCGGAGGTGTGTTATTTTTTAAAAAGACGCTGCTGACCGCGGTGGGCGGATAAAGGCGAGCCGAGGAGGGCATCCGGCCCTGGCTGGTAACTCCGGAGTGCGGGTTTGAAGGGACTGTATTCAACATTTTCAGGTAAGCGAGCTGAAATGACCTCACATTGCCTGTCCGATAATAGACAGGGGCTCTCTACGAGGCTGTGGGCGGAAAAGGACGAAGTGTTGATTTCAGTCTGTGGGATGGAAACGAAGAGGAAACGGTAGCTGAGAAACAATCCGGCCAGCCGATTCAAGGCAGTAACAGGCTCTGTCTTCTTCACACTTCTTTGTGCTCACTATTATCATGTGTTAGTTTGCATTTCATATATGGGAGAGAAAAAAAATCGAGGCAGGAATGTAAAGAAATACAGTTTTATTATCTATAACCAGGGATCTTTCTAACTCAGAGTAAACTGGTTCAGCTTTTATACTTAATGCATGGAATGATATCAAGTTTTCATTCAAATGTGTAACTAAATGGGTTAAAAATATCAACCTTTCCAAAAAAAGGTTTCAGTAACACTAATAAAAGTAATTAAAGAGCTTGGAGTTTTGCAGAGAATCGTGATTTATTTCCATCTTTCCCCCATTTTGCGTTAAATGAACCCTATTAAGGTTTATTAAGGAAATGCAGCTCAGATACAGGCATGTTTTCTGAGCATCCGCATCAGGAATGAACCACCCTGCTGTCTCCCTGGCAACAATGAGGTGTTGTAAAAGGGTGTAATGTTTCCAGAAAGTGCTTCTGCATGGTTGAATAATCTTACTGAACAGTTTTCATCCATCTATATAGATGATAAATGAAAGTTTGTGACTTTCCATCTCCCTCTGTCTCTCTTTCTATTTTTAATATTTCAGTTTGACCTGCATTTACTCCCATCATCCCTTATCTGGAATAAGTGACCACTCGATTTTATGTCTGCATGGATCTGAATGGGTGTATTGACCCACATTGAGATGTAGACTGTTGGTTGTGGAAGTGATAGACCCCCAGGGGAAATGTAATTACCCTGCTCGACTCTCTGACCTCCCCCTGTCTGAGCACCATATAGCAGAGTTTGTATTGATCAATCTCTGCTTTATGTTGTGTGTAGCAGCATCATAAACACTCCCAACTAGTTATAGTCAGAGTCTCACTCTGTCATTTGGATCAGAACCTTATATTTACAAAATAAACCCTCAAAACATTGTTGAAGTATGAATAAAGTTGTAAAATGGTTGCAGATTCTGTTCAAATTATACGTAATGAATTTTGTTGCATTATTTTTGTAAGCAAAGAACACATTTTGTAAATAGAAAAAATGCAATCCAGAAATAAAACTTTAAAAATGTTTTTTAAAAATATATATGTTTTGTGAGAAACTTCTATAGTTTCTTTAAAATATGTATTTTTTATTTTTAAAATTTAATTGGTTAAAGGTTTTTCTTTTGTTTCTTTTGTTTTTTTTTTAGATTTTAAATTTTCTTGTATTTTTTTTGTGAATTTCTGTTTGAAAATAACCAAATTCATAACGATCGATCTAAAAAGCAGAAATAAAAAATAAATAAATAATGCAAAATCTGTAAAAGGAAGAAGAAATATCTAAAATGAAAATATCTTAAAAGACAAAATAGAATTTGAAAGAATAAAATAGATAAAAAAAAAAAAAACTAAATCTCAGAAAAGGATCTTGAAAGCTCTTTTTGATTAAAACATGTTTCAAATGTTGATTCCTGGATTTAACATTTTTCAAATTCCGTGTTACAAAGCGTGTTTATGGTTTGTAACAACAATGGAACAACTTCACTCCATAGATTTATATTTTTTTACATCACAACTCTAATATTTTTAGAAAACTGGACGATAAAGAAGTGGAAGCAGAATCCATTATTTTTAGATGACCCTACATCATTATGCTGCCACTACCGTGTTTTAGATGGAGTGCAGACTTGGATCTCTGCATGCTAGTACCAATTTAACTTTAGACCCCTTTACATGGAGACCAGCTGTATCTGCAGAAATATTCAGTGTTTCAAGCATTACTTCAACTTACAGGTGCTGGTCATAAAATTAGAATATCATGAAAAAGTAGATTGATTTCAGTAATTCCATTTAAAAAGTGAAACTTGTATATTATATTCATACATTACATACAAACTCATATATTTCAGATGTTTATTTTGTTTAATTTTGATGATTACAAATGACAACAAATGAAAATCTCAAATTCATCATATCAGAAAATTAGAATATTGTGAAAAGGTTCAAAATTGATGGCCCCTGGTGCCACACTCTAATCAGCTAATTAACTCAAACCACCTGCAAAAGCCTTTAAATGGTCTTTCAGTCTAGTTCTATAGGCTACACAATCATGGGGAAGACTGCTGACTTGACAGTTGTCCAAAAGACGACCATCGACACCTTGCACAAGGAGGGCAAGACACAAAAGGTCATCGCTAAAGAGGCTGGCTGTTCACAGAGCTCAGTGTCCAAGCACATTAATAGAGAGGCGAAGGGAAGGAAAAGATGTGGTCGAAAAAAGTGTACAAGCAAGAGAGATAACCGCACCCTGGAGAGGATTGTGAAACAAAACCCCTTCAAAAATGTGGGGGAGATTCACAAAGAGTGGACTGCAGCTGGAGTGAGTGCTTCAAGAACCACCACACACAGACGTATGAAAGACATGGGTTTCTGCTGTCGCATTCCTTGTGTCAAGCCACTCTTGAACCACAGACAGCGTCAGAAGCGTCTTGCCTGGGCTAAAGAGAAACAGGACTGGACTGCTGGTGAGTGGTCCAAAGTCATGTTCTCTGATGAAAGTAAATTTTGCATTTCCTTTGGAAATCAAGGTCCCAGAGTCTGGAGGAAAAGAAGAGAGGCACTTCATCCACGTTGCTTGAAGTCCAGTGTAAAGTTTCCACAGTCAGTGATGGTTTGGGGTGCCATGTCATCTGCTGGTGTTGGTCCATTGTGTTTTCTGAGGTCCAGGGTCAACGCAGCCACATACCAGGAAGTTTTAGAGCACTTCATGCTTCCTGCAGCTGACCAACTTTTTGGAGATGCAGATTTCATTTTCCAACAGGACTTGGCACCTGCACACAGTGCCAAAGCTACCAGTACCTGGTTGAAGGACCATGGTATCCCTGTTCTTAATTGGCCAGCAAACTCTCCTGACCTTAACCCCATAGAAAATCTATGGGGTATTGTGAAGAAGAAGATGCAATACACCAGACCCAACAATTCAGAAGAGCTAAAAGCCACTATTAGAGCAACCTGGGCTATCATAACACCTGAGCAGTGCCACAGACTGATCGACTCCATGCCACGCCGCATTGCTGCAGTAATACAGGCCAAAGGAGGCCCAACTAAATACTGAGTGCTGTACATGCTCATACTTTTCATGTTCATACTTTTCAGTTGGCCAACATTTCTATAAATCCTTTGTTTTTATTGGTCTTCAGTAATATTCTAATTTTCTGATATGATGAATTTGAGATTTTCATTTGTTGTCATTTGTAATCATCAAAATTAAACAAAATAAACATCTGAAATATATGAGTTTGTATGTAATGTATGAATATAATATACAAGTTTCACTTTTTAAATGGAATTACTGAAATCAATCTACTTTTTCATGATATTCTAATTTTATGACCAGCACCTGTAGATTCAGCTTTTAGCGACAGTAAATCTTAAAATTGGATCCATGAGAGGAACAATGTCTGCAATGGCCTAACTTCTCATCTCTTTGCCACCATTCTGCGTCCTTCCTGCGTTTTTTCTAGAACTCAAACCAATGAATATATACTACTGTGTCTTTAGTGTTGCTACATGCTAAACTAACTAAAACATGTATGGATTTATCAGATGGGTGGATTTCTATTATCTTATTCAGTGTTGGATCATTGTGAAGTCTGCAGGTGATGCTGACTGAACTTCTGGCCATTCGCCTCCACAACACTGTTGCTTAGGGCAACCAGTCTGGAAGCTCGCAGCATCTTTCTGTGTTTTATGTAATCCTATAGCTTAGCCATTGTTTTCCAGATCGCAGTAATATAGATGGTCGGCTTTGTGCAGGTTTCAGACATAGCTGTGTGTGTTAGCATGTGTGGCCTTTTTCTTCTTTGGTTCTTTTAGAAAATCCATTAGTCTAAAAGCAGAGCATGCAATCGAGCTCTCAGAAGGAAAGTTCCTCTTAACTAGTGGTGCATATTTTTTGGGCACTAAAAGAAATGCGTCAATGGACTGGATAGCGTGCAGCAACCACTGCTTTGGGCTTCTTGCTCCTTTTATCTGTCTTTGCTGTCCAGTTGAGAGGTTCAGGTGAAGGGGGGCATTTTTTCTTTCAAAGAGGTGCAGCGTCTGTCCGATTTTGCAACCATATACTTTTTCTGAAAATTTTAGCTTATGTCCTCAAAGCTATGTATCCATGTAATGAAATTTAAAGTCATACTTTTGTTTTTAATTAACTCTCTCGCTATTTGAAAGCTTAGCACATTCGATATCTTGCATGCACTGCAGGGTTAGTCCCGCCGAGACAAAACATTAATTTAAGAAATATCATCTTTGTTAAGATGATAACAAAACTATGTTTTTTGTTGTTTTATATGCATGGCCCCATGCTGGATTTCAGAATGGCAAGAATGCTCCAAATGTCTCAATGTCTGTTGACTTTTGGAGCGACAAATGTTCGACTTTAAAAGGTTAGTAGCTTTCCATTTTTAAAGCAACGCTGCAATTTTTAGGAGTGCTAAACCTGTAACTTCCAGCTTAAAGGTACGGTGGAGGATTTTTTTCTTTTTCCAGGTGGATCATCAAAATAAGTGGTCCTCCTAGATGTCAGTCATTCTGGTGTTATGTTTACGTAAGACCGTCCTGCATACTCGTCCTCAGTTAGCTGTCTTTTTCTGTGCATGCGCACTTTTATGTGGCGAGCTACGGTTTCAGACAGTCAATGAAGCTCGCCTTTCTCACCGCAGTCCTTTGAAAATGGCCATGAGTCCTAAGAGGAAAAGTGTCTATGAAGGTTATGAGAAGAAGAGAAATGCTTCAGAAGAGAGAAACAGGACCAGGTTATTTTTGGGAGATTCTTTAATGGGATGGCATACACTGAAAGC